CCATCAAGTTTCTTATTCCACCTCCCTTCTTGCCTTGAGTATAGAAGGTATGGGTGAACACCATGCATTTAACAGAGAGCCTTGATTGTCCTAAAACAAAAGTAATACTTCTGATATTCAGTAAGTACGCTCGGGTATTTTGCTCTCAGGTCTCATTGCACCACTTTCTTCAGCAGCAGATAGACATATCATTGCCTCAGCTGCATTGTCCTGGAGAACTGTAAAACATGCTAAAAAAGAAGCTGTACATTGAAGAGAGCTCCCTATAGATTTTTATGCATTCCTCAGAAGGTAAAAACCAAGGAGTCAAGTTCTTACTTTGCTTAAACCCATATAATCCCACTTGATATCAACAAGCTTATCTCAGACTTGGTCATAGAGAATCATATACTTGGAAGAGACATTAAGGGTCATCTGGTTTAACCCCTACATAAAGGCAGGAATGATATACCCTTGGCCAACATAAGGCTTTTGTTTTTCCAACATAGATATGTTAGGCAGCTGTCAGAAAGGGACACACAAAGGAAATACCTTGCAATATACCTATCTGACTCATAGACTGTACAGCTCAATAAAAACATGCCAATTGCATTGCTTTTGGCACTATGCTTCAACAAGCTGTCTGCTTCTTCTGTCTGCATGACTAGTTTTGCAATCTAATTGAAGTCTTGGTAATTGACAGCTTTATACTTAGGCCTTGATAGGGAAGTGCCTTTCCACCCAGAGGGTTGCTAAAAATTTACTATTGTCAATATTTACTAGGAAGAAAAGTTGAAAACATCTTGTAAAAAACAGGTGTGCTCTTTTGGTGTCACTTTCATTTGGCTGGCAACCAGGAGAGAACTAATACTATTATGATAATCAGATATCACATTATGAACTTTGAGCTATATACTTATTATATTTGAAACCAGTGGCAAATGACTGGTGATCCAAAGCTTTTAAATCCCTGCCAAACATCTAGATGAAGTGACCAGACAGGCTGTGGACCAAGCGGCTCCATCATTCTCATGGTACAGCCCAACAAGGAACAATGTTTTTAATGGAAGACGTTGAGCTGAGCCCTTCTGTAAACTTGCTGCCCACAAGCCTAGTTAAAACTTTGTCATTCTGCTTCTTCAATAGAAGTTGAGAATTCACAGGAGCGAGCCTCTATGCCTCAGTTGGAAGCCACCAGTAGCTTCTTACTTCAACACAAATCTCATCCCTCTTTATTATGCTGATACTCCTCTGCTATAGTGAATAATAATAAATCATTGCTTATATCTTTGGTAATAAGTAATCCCATGTCATTGTAGCAAAAACACAATGAAATATGCCTTTTACATTGTTCATGGCTCTGCCAAAAATCACTCAATTTAAGATGCCTGTGTATAGGCTTTTTTATTTGTTTCCTTTTTTTATTGTATTCCTTAATAGAATGACATTAATAACCATATGTTCGGTAATCATTATTTCAAACAAACAAAATTCACTCCACGTACAAAGCAGGAGAGTGGAAAACATGAGCACAACACGGGTAATACTAATGCAACAGACAAGGAGCATGACCCAAAGCCTATTGAATTTGATGGAAACAGCCCCATCAACTGAAGTTGGTTTTGGATTAGAGCCCAGATAATTCTATATAAAGAGAGGGAAGAAATGGGGAAAGTGGATAAGGATGGGTATATCAGCCCTGCTGTTTACTTTGGGCTGTGCCAGACTCGTACAGTTTAGTCCTGAGTTTAAATGAGTGTACAGGTAGAAACAATTTAAATGAGTATATAGCTGACATTTTTGTTTATTTCAGATTTGAAGAAGAAAACAGCTGAGGCCATCTTCAATAACTGTAAGTCACAGCATTTTATCCTTAGCAATCCTAGGTTGGCTGTAAGAAGCAGTAAGAGTCTCTGATTCTTTCGCTAGTCCTTTCCTAAAGCCCTTTCTTTCACTTCTGCATAAGAAGTGTGATTTTGTATGGTACTGATTTTGTATGTCCTGCCTGGGCTTTCAGGGTCTTTCCAGAGGCACTGTCACCTTCAGATCAGGTCAATTTAAAGTAAGGAGTTAAAAGTAACTTCTACTGGGTTCGCAGTCATGGTTTCTTACAAATGCTGACTTACCACTTGTTGTAAGGAGAAGTAGTTAGCCATGTTAGTCTGGAGTTAGGCAGAAAATGGGGCAGTGTGACATCTTATCAACTTCAGAGATGCATGAACTTTCACAGGCTATGGCCTACTTCATGCCTTTTTGAACAAGGCAGTCTATCAGGTGCCACACTGCCCTGCCAGTTGTTTTAAGGGTTAGGCTGCCTGAAGCTGGGCATTTAAACAAATGTTGTCAGAGGTGCTTAGCCCCTGTAGATAGAAGGAGCTATGACTGCTCAGCACCTCTGACATTTAGGATAGATATTCTTTAGCCTCATCTAGACTCCACTGACCTAAGCTGAGAGCCTTTCCTTTGGCTCTACTGGGAGATGGATCAGGCCCTATATACTTAAATATGGATTTAGGTGGGCAGCTAGCTGTAGACACTCATGTTGAAAAGTCTGGTCCTAATTTTTAAACAAATGTGAAAAGTTTGCAGAATGTTATTAGATGCTGCAAATGCTGGATGTATGAATAGTGAAGAGTTCCAGGAAAACAAGGAGACATAATTGAGAAGACTGATTTCCTGTCTTGTGTCTTAACCTCAGACACACAAATAACTACATACACTATAAATAATTAAGGCTTGTGAAGGAGACATTCAGGTTTACAGGCATGTATCAGTGGTTTGAGTGTATATTGAATTTCAAGCAAATTGAAGTTAGAAGCAGCCCATCATTAAGCTTTCATGTATGAAAGACACCCAAGGTATTTTAACTCTGTTGGCATAGGGATGATAGTCTACTTTCAACCTTCATTTCTGTATAGAGAATCAAAACCAAGCACCATGGAACATTTCGTTTTACCATTTGTTTCACACGTACAGGACTCCTGGACTGCAGTGTAATGATTGGCCTCCACAGAATCGTTTGCTTTTTTCACTTGCACATGCAAATCTGAGTACGCAGTGTTTCTTTATGGAAACATACTAGCATAGCTGTTTATTGACACATGCAGAATGACTGCCACATGGACATTTGGAATACATCTGTGCACTTCAAGTAGATACTGAATTTTTTTAGCATCTGGCTATTATTGAAGAACAAGGAATAATTACTTTTAATATACTCAGGAATTTGTAGTTTTCTTTTACATGTGCTTGAGATAAAGAAGGCCAGACAGCAGCAACATCACTGCATGATTAAGGCTGAGATTTTCTTTTGTTGGGGGTCACTGATAAAATGGAAGCAGGAGCATAGTGGCAAAGCAAATTAGGGTATCTTCCTACAGCTCCAGAGTCATAAGTTCAAGTTTCTTGTGAGACTAATGCTAGAGGCTTCTCCCAGTGACCCTATGTGTAACTGGGTACCTGATTATTGAATCTAGAGAATCAAAGATATATGAATGTGATGCTGGCTGCAGCATTTTGGTATGCTGTAAACTACAGAAATTGGTGTGCCTTACCCACACACTGGTGCTCTTGGTCAGTAAACTCATGGTAACCCTTGATTAAATGAAAATGTTTGCCACAGAAGGATAGGTGATATTAGATTCTGATAGTTTCATGGCCCCCTTAGGAGAGCAGTGCTAAAGTTAATTTTCTTGCTTGAAAAGTGCAAAATTAGTTATACATCCCTTTGGTGTCTAATCTTTTTTGAGGAGGAGGCAATTTGTTTTTAGTTATAATTGTTCATAAAGACCTTACTTATTTTACCTTCGTTGCATTCCTTCAAATCAGCTTTCTAAAGACTGGCTTTTTTCATACCTGAGGGATTTCTGACTATCTTTCATATCTTTCATCCTTTCCAATTTCTCTTTTTTTTTTTTGCATGAGGAAGGATATGTGTGTCCAAAAGCTTGCAAATAACACCTTTTTTAACTATTTAGTTGGTGTAATAAAAGATATTGCCTCTACCCAAAGACTTCGCCTGCCCTTAGTTACTTTATCAACATTTATTCAGAACTGAACTGGTTTGGTGGCCTTTACTACAAAAGCTTGTCAAGTGGGGTGACAGAGAAATGTCACTGCTGCTCACTATGTTTTTGCCAGTTTGGGTTGCCAAAGTTTGGATATACTTCAGGAGCTAAAAACTACTCCCTGCAATCTGGATGTATGCCTCTCAGCTGGTTGACTGAAACCACATAGCTCTAGAATTAGTTACTGGTAGAGATTATGCAAGCTGCCTTCCCCAATGGAAAGGTTCCAGCACTGGCGATCTCATCAGCTACTGTTCGTTCTTCAAACTTCCTTGCATATGGAAATGTGTGGAGCAGCGGCTTTGGTGTTATCTAGAGTCCTCAGATTTCACTGATTCCTTTGCCTTGGTTGGTTTTAGATCTTGGTATGGGACAGCGACTGTGCTGGGTTCTGTCAAATTTGCACAACTTTCTTTTTTAAGTTCATGAGTAGCTTTCAGCATGGTGACCACATCTACAAGAAATACTGACTGCACTGTAGCTCATTACTACTGGACAGTAGTGTTGCATATCATGAAGCATGATGCGATGCAGTAGTGTTGCATGGCATGAAGTGTGATGCCACTGTGCAGTCAGCACAAGCTACTGTGCAGTCAGCATCAAAAACTGTTCAGCAATGTTACTGCACAGTAAGTCCGGTTACTGCACAGGCAGCATCTCATGTAGATGTGGCCAGCGAGTGGTTGCTGAGTAACAGCACCTGTGATGGCTTAGTAACAGCACCTGACTCAGATCTTAGCCAAGCTGAGCAGAGTTGCATCCCATAATGTTCGGGTATTTCCATTTTGGGAGATTCCATTGCCAGGGGCTAGCAACTGCTCATACATCTCCAGGGTACTCTTCAGTAAAGTACTGTAGAGTTGTCCCTGGGTCACCGTGTATGGGAAACAGTGAGGGTTTGAACTGTGATGTATATGATCCTCAGCTCTCTCTTACCTTTTCACTGGATTGGGACAGTGCTGTCTCCCAGTTTTTCTAGTTTCTACCTAAAAGCAAGGCCTGGATGAAAGTTAATAGGTCCTAAACCAGGTAAGATAGATGCGATGCTGCTTGAATAGCGAAATGGCTACAGCAACCTGATCAGTGGCAGGAGTATTTCTGATTTGTGTTAGTAACTGGACTTTCAGCTGCTCCTGGATTTCCAGGTGGTAACAGAAACTAAGAATACTTGTATTCCTCTCCTCTCAGCAAGGAACAACCTGGAAGGTCCATTTGGTGAAAAATGCAGCTGCCTGTTTGCACATCAATGTTTTGCTAATAGACTTTGCATGCAGGCTCTGTACATTGCATTGTCTTCCAAATCATATATGAGTGAAAGTCAAGGTGCTGCTTGTAATCTCTAAACTATTATGTGGCTTGGGTTCCTTCTGGTCTAGAGATAACCTCTGTTCATGCTTTATCCTTCTGGCAGAAATCAGTTGGGGGACTAAAGCTGACAATTCCTATAACTGAGGCTCGGTGCATGGGAGGGACTTTGATTCTATTGTTATGTTACTCATGCAACTGAGTGTGTGTTTGTTGAGCTTCATGATTCTCCATAAGGCTGAACTATTCATTCAGGCTTTTAGCTGATGGGATGCATGTGGGAGAGCCTGAATTTGGGGTTGGTGGAGGGATTGTGAGATGTAACAATTTATTTTGCATATGTGCCACCTAGGAGTCAATAGGCTCTCTTACAAAACAGTGTAGCAAATGATGTTCTTTTTCTCCTTTCCAACAGTTTGTGGAACACGACAGAATAGAACAGTGAAGTCAATGTCAGCAAGAATAGTCAATGGAATTGTCTCTGCAGATGCTGGGGACTGGCCCTGGCAAGCTAGCTTACAGCTGAATAACATCCACCGTTGTGGTGCAACACTGATTAGTAATGTATGGCTCCTGTCTGCAGCTCATTGCTTTAAAGAGTAAGTCCCTATGCTCAGAGAGTTGGCAGGAAGGTTTTTTGTGTACTGACCCATGCATTAAATTGTGTCGCATTCTGAACTAATGCCAAGTCTCCCTCAACATCTCAAGGCATAGAGCTTTTGATAATCCAGCTGGAGCCTGAGAAAATAGTTACTTTGAAAAATGGCTCTAAAGGATGCTCTAGGGAATCCCCAAGCACTGCAACTGTCCATAGTCCATATTGCAACTGCAATAGTGTCCTGACTGTGTTTTGCCTAAGATTAGGCAGAGCCTGGCTACCACCGCTTGGCCCAGATCCACAACGGAATTGATGCCTAACTCTTTGCTAAGTACCTAACTCCTTAATGAATCAATGGCTAGGTAGGTGCTTAAAGAACTTTGTGGACCAGTGTCTGACAGTTTTTGAGCTGATAGACTACTTCATCCCATCCTGCCCCTGGACAGTTGTGTGAATTTTTCCCTGAAAAAGTCAGAATTCATTCCTGGTTGAGATGAATAATGAGATATTTGAAAACCAATACCTTTGGAGAGGGATTGGCAATGTCACAGTAGAAGGGGTTAAGAGTCAGCAAATGGCCAAGTTTGGCATGGCTCCTCTCAGTGAACTGCTGTAGTGGGCTGTATTTGCTTTGTATATTGGCTCTCTGACTCCCCATAGTCCTTAGGTGGCAGGATTAGTAATTCATCTGGGGTATCACCAGCCTGATTCTCCATTCACCCCAAATCTCCCAAGAATCTTGTGGGATTTTGGAGTAGGTATACTTGACCAAGTTCAAGATCTTTTCTCTCCATAAGTGAAATATTTACAGTATTTTAATTTCTTCCAGTGTAAAATACCCACACAAATGGACAGCTACCTTTGGACCTCTTTTAAGACCACCAAGCATAACACGATTCATCAAGAAGATTATTATTCATGAGAAGTACCGTTATCCAGGCCTTGACTATGATATTGCCCTTCTGAAACTCTCTAAACAGGTTGAGATTACAAGCACTGTACATCATGTTTGCCTGCCGGACCCATACCAGGTTTTTCCATATAACACTTATGCAGTTGTCACAGGATGGGGAGCACTTAGCAATGACGGTGAGTGCCTACAGAAGACAACATTTTATACTTTACATTAATGATGAGTCTTGTCACCTAGTAGTTCTAGCTGTATGGCCATTGAGAACTCTGTTAGGAAACATCTCATTTAGGAAACAAAGCTAAAACCATGCAAATAATTAAAAAGTGGGTTTAATTATAAAAAATACATTCCACATTTCCCTGCTCTCTGATGTAAAGCTACAAGAAACAGAGATACAAGTCGCTGAAACAAAAAAAAAAGGAAAACTCCAATATTTTGTTTATGTCCCTTCTGTTTTAGGGTATCTTTACACATGGTCCAGGGAGGAGGATGTTTTAATTCGAGCAGCTCTTGGGAGCTGCTGTAATTAAAATGCCTGAAGTGTCTTGCATATTCAGCACTTCAAAATGGCGACAAGGGTGCTTTAACTGAAGCTCATTCAATGAGCTTCAGTTAAAGTGCCCCCACTGCCATTTTGAAACACAGGGACACTGAATACGTCTGACACTGAGGTTGCTGGAGCATTCTAATTCGAACACTCCAGCAGACTCAATTAACTGAGTCTTCTCCAATGCGTTCTAATTAGAATGCATTGGAGCAGGCATTGGGCACATGTATAGGTACCCTTAGATCTTAAGTTCTTTGATGCCAGCAATGCATCTGTATTTGTACAGTGACTGGCTGTAACAGGAGGGCTGTCAGGATTACCGTGCTCGCCCCTGCTGCCTCCTTTACCGTGCCAAGCTGCCGACTCGCCCCCTCCAATTCTCGCCTACCACGACTTTGATTTTATTTATTTCGATAGGGAGGCTGCCTTCTGGCTTCTTGGCCACGGTTCTCCTGTCTCGGGGGTTCCATACACCCCAGCCTTATGGGCTATGCGTGGCTCCTACCACCCCTGTACCACACCCCAAGCCTCACAGGTGTAACGGATGTTGTTTTGTTTCTCTCTCTGTCTCCACGCCCTCTCTGGCGCCTGGGCTGTCCACAGGCCTGTCTCTCTCTGTGCCCTCTCTGGCACTCGGGCTCTCTGCAGCCCTGTCTCTCTCCATGCCCTCTCTCCAGGGCTTTCTCAGTAATGCCGCCCTCCTCTGGGCCTTCTCAGTAATGCCGCCCTCTCTCAGGGGCTCACTGCGCCTGCACTGGGGCTTCTCGGTAAGGCTGCCCCCTCTATGGGACTCCTCAGTAATGTTGCGCCCTCTCTGGGCTCACCACGCCCACACTGGGGCTTCTCAGCAATGCCCTCTTCTCCGGGGCTCCTCAGTAGTGCTGCCCCCTCTCCGGGGCTCTCTGCACCCACACTGGGGCTTCTCAGTAATGTTGCCTCCCCTCTGGGCTCCTCAGTAATGTGATGCCCTCTCTGGGCTCACCACGCCCGCACTGGGGCTTCTCAGTAGTGCCCCCTCTCCGGGGCCTTTTCAGTAATGCTGCCCTCTCTCTGGGGCCGTCTCAATAAAGGCTGCCCTCTCTCTGGGCTCACCACAGTGCTGCCCCCTTCTCCGGGGCTCACCTTGCCCGCACTGGGGCTTCTCAATAGTGCCCCCTCTCTGGGGCCTTCTCAGTAATGCTGCCCTCTCTCTGGGGCTGTCTCAATAAAGGCTGCCCTCTCTCTGGGCTCACCACAATGCTGCCCCCTTCTCTGGGGCTCACTGTGCCCGCACTGCGGCTTCTCCACAATGCTGGCCCCTTCTCTGGGGCTTCTCCACAATGCTGCCCCTCTCTAGGGCTGGGGTCTGCGCACCCCGAATGCTGCGCCCTCACTGGCGCTCGGGTCCCCACACTAGTGTGAGTCCCCTATGAGGCCTCCTCCAACCCCTAATAGCCTCACCCAAACCACCGGTGATAAACAGCAACACAACCACAAGCCCCTAGGCTATAACATAAATGGAAGCCACCCGGCCATAACAACATTCAATCCTGCTGGTAACCCTTTATGTCTCAGCAATGTTAGATGTTGCTCCTGTATCAGGCTTCTCCTCTCTCCCATGGCAGAGAGCTCCTTCCTCTTTGGCTGCTGGCAGGGAACCCCCTCTGGCCTCAGCTCCTAGGTTTATAAAGGAGCCAGGCCCAGCCCCTTTCAATCAGCTGACCACTGGCAGGGGTGACCTCTTGCTCCCTCCAACAGCTGGGCTCCTCCCTCCCTGCTAGGGCTCCTTCCCCAGCAGTTTTTCCCTTCATAGGAACAGGGCACCTCAGTGCTCTGTGACACTGGCACAACAGGGTGCCAACCTTGACTGGGATTTGTCAGTCCCTTTAAGAAAGATGTGTTATACCCATTTAGAAAAGTCGCAAATTGAGTTGCAGACAGGTGGCTTTCCATTGTTACACAATTAGATAAAGCTAGGAATTGAATTAGCAGTAGAACTAGTCTGGAATCCAGATCACCTGCTCAAAATTGAGGCCATAAGGGCACAGAGCCATGAGTTGGAGCGGTGGAGCAACGGCCTTCATGGTTGGTGAGTGGACTGGGGTGTAGGGGAGGCAGAGCCCCAGGACCACCACCTCGACCCCATGAGTATTACCATCCCTGGGCTGGGGTAGGAACACCACTGAACCCCTCCTTTTAGTATCGGATCCATCAAGATGTGGCAGGAAAGTTGAGAGCCAGGTCCAAGGAGCGGGGTGAATACTCACAACACCAACAGAGGGCATCACACTATGGTATTAAATATATAATATATGTGAAACAACTCTGAATATTTCCTCAGTCTAGGGAATGTGGTACAAGACTGAACACTTTTTTTACCTCAACCAAAATGGACTGTCTCACTTGAGAAAATGAGGTGTTTCCTAACTGTTCCTTCCACATCTTAGATAATGCAAATGATTTAAGTTTTTAAACACTGAAATATATTTTCCCTTTAGGCCCAAGCCCTAATGCTCTTCAGGAAGCAACAATAAAACTCATAGACCCACAAATTTGCAACAGAAAAGAAGTGTACAATGGTGTCATTACACCGAGGATGTTGTGTGCAGGATACTTGGAAGGAGGAGTAGATGCCTGTCAGGTAGGTGTACCTGAAAATTAGTACGAAAGTCATTTTAATTATCATTCAGTACCATAGTCCCCAACCTTAACTAATATTGTACATGCTTCTCTGTGTTGTTCCTTCTAAATTAATCAAGAAGGAATTGGAGGTAAAAATGAAAGAACAATTTTACATGCAGTTTAGCCCATAACACTAAGTTTGGCCCACCAGTTTAGCCCAACACAAAGTTTGACACCTTGTGTCAAACTTTGAAAGACACAAGGTGGCATTATAGCCTTGCAGTTCAAAATTGCCTCATGCTGGCTATTTATTCTCCATAAGGTCCTCTGTGGTTTCTCACTCCATATCTGTTTCCACAAATATTGTCCCTTCCTACTGTCTTCCTGTGGTTACTTCAATCTCCCTTCATCCTTTCATGTAGCTACTGACTTCTTGATTACTGAATTGTTTTTCTCTAGCAGGTTTAAACTGCATCTGTTTTGCTGTTACGTTTAGGGTGCTCCATACAGATTTGGCAGTATAAAGGAGCCATACTTTGACAGAAAATATGATGGATCTGAACCATAATTTCACTAGATTTGAGTTTGAGTATTAGTCAAGATGCTTTTTGTAGGTAGTAAAGATGTGAATGATGTGTAAAATGTGAAAAAAATTACCAGCCAGACTAGTCTGACCAAGAGTTCTGAAGGAGTTCAAGAATGAAGTGGCTGAGTTGTTAACAAAAATGTGCAACTATTCATTAAAATTAAACTCTGGACTGGAGGATATCAAGCATTGTACCTATGGTTTAAATATGTGCTAGGTATACTTTTTGGAATTACAGGCTACTTAGCCAGCTCCAACACAGGAATAATAGCTGAAACAGTCGCTAAAGCTAGTTAGAATATATCTAGATGCACATGAAACGATAAACTTATTTGTGTTATGCTACAAAGTTTCTTACAAGGAAATTCTAAACAAAAATTGTTCCTATGACAATATTGTTAGAAGGTCATGTCTATTAATATTACATTTTTTTTAAAAGGTGTAAATATTTGGTTTAAGCAACTTAACAGCTCCCCTTGTTAGGTCCAGTCCTGCTAAGACATCTGCACATTAGGGCTGTGCGAAGCTTTAGTCCCTGATTCGATTCGGTGGAGATTCGGCCCGATTTGGTGGCCAAATCTCTGAATCCAAATTGAATCAGGAGACCCTTTAATCTCTCTGAATCAAATTGGAACCCTCCAAATTGATTCAGAAAGATTCAGAAAGATTTGGAGATTTGGACATAGACAGCTTTAAATGTTTTTTCTACATACCTCTAGGTAGCAGGTAGCTCGTGAACACTGCGATGCTGGGGCACATAGAGTGTCCCACAGAAGCATGGGGAGCTCCCCAGTGTACTTGGCAGCAGATCTGGAAGTGGACCAGAAGCACTTCTGGTCTGCTTCTGGGTCTGGCGGGGAGCGCTCTGGGGGCGTGACTGGTGCCTACTGGATCTGGGGGGGCATCCGAGGTCTCCCTGTGGCCAATTGCTGAGCCGGGCAGGTGCGGGGGGCCCCGCAGCACGCTGTTCAGCAGACTCGGAAGTGGACCAGAAGTACTTCTGGCCCACTTCCAGGTTCACTGCCAAGCACATGGAGGGGGCCCTCCTGCACTCCTGTGGGACGCTCCATTTGCCCAGCATTGCAGTGCTCACGAGCCATGCCTGCTATCTCAAGGTATGTAGAAAAAACTTTTAAAGCTGTGTCTATGTCTAAATCGCTGATTCTCCGAATCAGCATCGAATTTTCAGATTTGGATTCAGCTGAATTGAATCAGGGACAGTGATCCGAATCAACGAACTGAATCACTGTCCCTGATTCAGGGCAAATCCGAACCAAATAGGGCCCATTTCACACACCCCTACTGCACACGCTTTACTTCCTGCATGTGACTATTGAATTAATATGCATAAAATTGAGTATATGCAGAAGTTTTTACAAAGTCAGAATATAAACACTTTGAATCTCATTAACCTATTTTCCCTGTCCCTATTTTGTTCTGCCTAGAAAAGCTCAAGACTGAAAGGCACTGTTAGCATTTATTTATTTCAGTAAAGTTGGGCAGTGAGATGGATTGCAAATTCACTTTTATAATCTGGTAATCTTCTAAAATCAATCTCACTGTGATACTATTTACATAATAGCTTAATTAAAAATGTTGGGAGAGGCTAATGCATTTAACTTTGGAAAAGGTGCCATCAACTTAGAAACTGCTGCTCTGAAAGAATTATTTTCACCTACTATAGTTACAAGTAATATGTAAGATTATTTAAAAGGGGAACGTTAGCTAAAAAATAATGATAATTTTCTTGGTGTTGAGCAAAATGAGTAATGGGATTTGTAAAACCATAGAAATTGGCAGCAGGGCTCTCTGGGCAATACAGGTGCCTTCTAACTCAGATTTTAGAAGTTGACTAAATTCCAAGTTGATGGTATCCCTTATAATAATGCTCCTTGCATCTCTCATTGGAGGACAGCATCATCTTTCATAGCCTATTGTCTGTAGAAAAAATCATCTTTCCCTGTCTGCTAAATTAAATGCCTTTGTTTATTTGTTTTCTGCAGGGTGACTCTGGTGGGCCACTGGTTACTCCAGATTCTAGATCCATGTGGTACCTTGTGGGAATTGTGAGTTGGGGAGATGAATGTGCCAAGCCCAATAAGCCTGGGGTCTACACACGTGTGACTTACTTCCGAACCTGGATTACCTCAAAAACTGGCATCTAGCACAAACCTCAAAGTGGATATAACTTCTCAGGCTCTATGCAGGTCATACTAGTATATAACTCCAAGGTGTTATTGAATGTATCTATCCCTGCACAGTTTTGGTCAGTTCCTGTCCAAAGCAAGCACTAGCTTCATTGTTGGAGATGTGACAATCAATCCCTCACATATTTACTTTAATGTGTGAGATCACCTTCCTCATCTCTGAGCTCTGAATGGTTCTGACACAGAAAAGGAGACTAATGGACTCAATCGAACTAACCTAAAAGAGCAAAAAGTTGTATTTATTTTTAGCAGTTTAAAAGTATATCTACTCTTTTTTCCCCAGGAACAGGGAGTTACTCTGCAGCCTGTCAAAGGTTTGGGGATACCCACAGCTCTTCTACCCAATTCCTCTGCTGAGGGCATATCTTAGCTGCCACTATATTTGCTAACCAGTCTTAGGCTTAAGTCTCTCCTTCAGAGCTCAAGACCTAGACAGACTGTAGTTAAGTCAGGGCATCTTCCCTCCATTTACTGAAAGCCTGGCTTTCCCTGCTGCCATGTGGGCTACTAAGAGCCTGGGAAAGTTGCAGGAAGCAGGTCTAAGGGAAATCCAAGCTAAGGTAAAAGAGGATTTCAGTGTTTCTAGCAAGCTTCTGTTATTCTGCTATGAAGCATATTTAGTGTATTCAGTGAAGCACAAGGTATTTTTTAATTTTGTTTTAAAAGATCTTTATCACAGTCATATGCTACAACCACATTACTGCCTCCCTAGCTGACTTCTTTCATCTTGCACAGTATACTTGAAGGACAGGAACACAGGATGTATCTTTGTTTGGTGCTTAATGTGCAATAACAATGCATGGGGGCGGGGGGAGGAGAGGAAACCCACCCCCACCCTCACCCTCACTTCCACCCTAACAAGAAGGTTAATTACGTTGCAGAAAAGAAACCTTCCCTTTTGTATTCAAGCCAACAAGTGGGTATTTTTTAAGGGAGACAAATGCCCACCAGATATAATTTGGGAATTATATTTTAGATGAAGACAGGATTGGCCCTTCTAAGTTTCCTGCTGGGGCAGCTAACTCGCAAAAAAGGAAGCTATAGGTGGGAAGCTTCCCACTCCATTGGTGGCTTTATCCCAGCAGAGGATAACTGGTAATCTGTTGCATAAGACTGCAACTGAGAAGTAATTGTAAACCTCAAAAGGAAGTCCCCTAGTGATGACGAACCTGCCCCTAAAATGAGACCTTTGCATCCAACCCCTGCAAAAATCTCAGTAAACTTTTTTAAAGAATGCCATCATGTTTACTGCTGGTGTTAGGGGATCCAAGCTTACTATCCTACCTTCAACCCCCTGCATGACCCACCATTGCTACCTCTATATGAGAAACCACAAGGACACTTCACTGGTGGTTCCTCCTTCTGTCTCTGATTTGCCACAAAGCCCAGTATGGGGAATAAGAGAAGCTGTACATGCCACTGCTGAATCTCTGTGGAACAAAATCTCTTTGAAACAATTTGCCTCCATTTCTGTCCATCTCTGTTTAATTTCATCTTCTCTTCAACCAGCTCCACAGGGATGTTGGTGACCAACACCAGCCGAAGCAGCAATGCACTTAGTTACAAACAAAGCACCTAGGTGTCTAAATATGCTTTGAGGTGCTTTCAGATACTTTTCACAGTTTATCTGTGGCATCTTGACCCTGGGCAAAACGGGTATTATGTCTCCAAAGTTCTAGTTTTTCATTGTTTTTTTTTAAGATGGTGGCATTTCTAGTCTGTTTGTAACACAGCCAGTAAATTATGAAAGGTGTCTTAGGATGTATAGAGATGGTTAAATGAAACAGGTCTATTACCTCAACTTATTGACATAGTTTGCAAGCTGTGCACTTTTGGGTTGCTGCAATTTTTCAGCTAAGAATGCAATCTGGGCTGGATCCAATACTCAATGGAAACCTCAGGAGGATTTGGGCCAGGCCTTCTCTGAACACTGTTTTCAGTTAGAGTGAATGCCCGCTATTATAGAGAAACCATTGTAATCTCCAGAAAGAGCATCATGCAAGAATAAAATAAAGTCGAAACATCATGGGCCTGACTCTCCAAAGGACGTTTTTTACATACACAATTTGTACCTGAAAAAATGTGCACGAACTTTTCTGTAGCTTTAATGGAATTGTAGGTGTAAACTGGGATGCTTGCCTCTATAACGAACTGCTGGAGTGCATTTGGAAAGTGGGTGGTTAGAAGGGCAAAGGCTGCTTTGCACCCAATATTATTTTTTTGCTGACAGAAGGTGGGCAGCCCAAGGTTTGTGATCCCTAAAAAATGGATCCCTACTTTAGACTGAAATTGATGTCTCAAATGCATGTGTATGCCTTCCTTACAGAGTAAGAAAGGCAGCTTTTACTTCAGATGTTCCCTGTGAGGAACCAAAACAACCATGGGGAACATGAATATCTTACTCAGGGATTGGTGAGATATCCAGATGCACTGCTCTTCACAAGCTGCTAGTGAACTCTGTGTGGCCTAGTTTCATCTTTACTGAAAGTCATTTTTTTATTTAGGAAGACTCAGTTTGTTATCAGCACAAGAACAAAAGAAAGAGAAACCTATATAAGCAAAGGAAAGATTTAAAGCCTTTATATTATTATTATTATCAATAAACTATAGTAGTGATTTAAACAACACAAAATTAATATATTTTATGTGTATTAAACATATTTAAAATATGGTATATCTCTTTCCTTTTTTTCATTAATGAAATTTTGGTTTCTATAGCCAGACTCAAGTCTCTATCTGTTTTGAAATATTTTACACTCATTTTGTTTTGTTTTTGTCTAACTTCCAGGGCAGAACTGCATCCTATGTCCTCTTTCCCTTCAAATCAGAATGGGCTGGCTTTCAGAATAACTTCAGCAAAACCAAAATGACACATTCTTTCTAGCATATAAAAAAACCAAGAGTTGGGTTTTGAGTACAATTGAAACTATATAGAATAAGAACAAACCTGAGCCTTATTTTGAAACAAATCACCTGAGTTTTGCTTGCTGCTGATTTGCAGCCTGTAGTACAGTGGAGCAATTCAGTGAGTATAAACTTAGTGTAGCCTTTATCCATATTATCAACCAGGTGATCAGATTGGCGAACAGGAGGGACAGAGTAGGATTAAATTCACATCCAAAGTGTATTTCTATTCTAATGTTTTTATACATTAGAAGTACTTACATCAAGCCCAAATCATTGCATCTTACAATTTCATGATCAATGATATTTATCAATACAACATTCATATGTACTGTTCCATAGCTGTTGTACCAGGGTTTGGTTGCACGATCCTACATGCTTTCCTCATGGTCCATCAATTACAGCATCCTCTCCACATCTGTTGTTTTAGGACTGGTCATACCATCCTACAAGCTTTTTTCTACTATGGTAGTTTGTACTGATTCTGTCTATCACAGGAGGTCTGGAACAGATCCCACATGTCCTGCTTTGCTCTGGTGCTCCCCAGAGAACTTTAGACTGGCAGGATTCCTACTCTTGGCCTACCTTATGACCTACATAGCACAAACAATAAAAGGAATAAAATATTGCATTTTGCAACCCTTACTCATCTGAGGAGGTCTATTTGACTAGTCACTGGGGTTCCTCATTAGTTAAGCCTGCAAAATTTACACGCAAAATCTACTGCTTCTGTAACAAATTACACAACTCATCAGCCAAAAGCAGTTATGTAAGTAACATGCTGAATATTAGTTTCTGGCAACTCCAAACTTGCTTCAAGATTTGCAAAGAGGCACATGGGTGCATAGACATGTTTCTTGTAGAACTGGATCTTGTTCTTGTGCCTGTATTCATACACTTATCAGACTGCAACCAGCTTTGTATACCTGGGGCCCTAGACATCTGGGTCATCAGGATTTAAGATCACTGTAGCCAAAGGATACTCAGTTCCTGGGACAGGGGTGGGCAACTATTTGGGTCTGACTGCCACTTAGGGAGTTTTGGTGAGTTGTCATGACCTGGGTCAGCACCCCCACCACCCCTTCCCCTCCCCGCAAACACATACAACAGAACACCAAACTAAGCGACTCTGCTCTGCACTCAGCTGGGTGACTGGGATGGGGCTGCAGACAGAAAGTGGCATCTGAGAGCAGGATGCATGGACAAGGCCAGGGCTGGGTTCATGGGGTGGTGACAGTAAGAGCCGGATCCACTCCCTGCATGTCCCTGTGACGGGTGCCAGTTCCACAGGCAGGGGCATGTGGGAGCAGATCTTGGCTCTGCCCTGGGTTCCAGCCCCATGTCATTACTGCCCCATGATCATGGGGTCTTCAAGGAGACCAGGTGGGACCTGCGCAGGCAAGGTCTGTGAACAGATGGATAGAATGTCGCTGTGGGCAGGCAGGGGGTGGTTGCATGCCCCTCCCCACAGAACCAGCACCCATCAGCAGGGGCGGGCAGTTATTTTGGGTGGAGGGCCGCTTACTGAGTTTTGGCAAGCCATCAAGGGCCGCATGACAGGCAGCCAGGGGCAACTAAATATTAATTTTCTAAATTTTTTAGGGACTCCGCAGGACGGAGAGAATGGCCTGGTGGGCCACATACAGCCTGCGGGCCGCATTTTGCCCACCCCTGCATCACAGGGATGTGCAGGCCGTGGATTGTAGCTCTGCCCTGAGCCCTGGCTCTGTGCTGTCGCCGCCCTGAAATCCTTCTCCATGATCCTGGACCTGCCCACCCACCTCACTCCCAGACATGGCTCTCTACTCACCCGCAGCCCCATCCTTTCCACCTGGCCACACACCCTGCTTGTGTGGGTCTCACCCCTGGCAGTGGATGTGGGGCAGATGGGCCAGGATACCTGGGCAGTGAGGCCAGGTCCAGCAGCTGCAGCAGCCAGAAGGAGCCGCCACCGCTGGGGCTCCCAGGAAGTGAGTCCAGCTGCGATGCTACCACAGCTGTGCTGCACGATCAGGGGCAGCAGGACTAGTCACATGCACCGCAGCCTGGGCTGCCTCCCATGCCTGGGCCAGGAAGAACCAAGGGACCTGCTGCAGGCTAGACAAACTCCCTTGGCAGGCAGGATCTGGCCTGCGGGCCATATTTTGCCCACCCCTGTCCTAAGAGAATAAGGTGCCTTGTATTACTTACTAGTGATCTAGTGATTTTTAGGGAGGAAATTGCAAGACAGTTTCTTCTTAGGTATCAGTCTAGTTCCCCTCCTACCTGAAAGAAACCCAGAAACAAAAATATCCATCTTAAAATTGTGGAATAATCTTACTGTGTGTGAAATGGCACCCTGAAACTGGACAGCAACTATTACTGTTAAAAATGCTAATGGTTGGGGTTTTCAAGGTACATTCAAAGAATTATGCAGACAACTTCTTTCATCCCCTCTGAGAATCCCAGCCTGAAAGACCAGTCTTTA